AGCTCATGTGAGCTGTGCCTACCGAACAACAAAATGAACTTGAGTTTGAATACTTTTAACAATTATCTTTAAAACATGAGTATTTTTGATAAGTGACTCAAGGCTACACGTCCATTTTAATTTTTTCTCCTTTTAATAAAGGAATGAGAGTGTATTTGGGAATCAAAAGACATGGACTTGTTCATTAAGTTCCCCTTTCTGGCCATAAGTGAATCAAAGGATGATCTGTGAGATCCCTCCTAGTTCTCAAATGAAGTGACTCCTCCTTGAGCACTCCAAAAATGTTCAGCTCTTTAAAATATCTAAATAGGAAAAAAAGGGGATCAATGAGAAGAATGGAAGGATGGCCCCTTACCCACCACACAATTAGCATTCACCTAAGGGTTCAACTTTTAAGAGGAATTAGATAGTCACAAATAAACAGGACTGTGGGAAATTTTGAAATAAAATCTGCACCTGGGACCTATAACCTTACACTACTCAATGTGGGACTTCTCTTTGGTTATTACCCATAAGCCTCTGGGGCATCCCATTCGATCAGCTAGAGGTACTGGGAGGGGGACCAGGAAGGAAGTTCAGGTCGGGAACCACGTCCGCAGGGCGCCCAGGTCCAGCCAGCCAGGAAGCGCCCTGTGCTGCACGATGTGACTCCCCACGCAATGTCAGCTGCAACGCTGAGTATTTTTAGTTATACAAACCTCCAATTTCTGGTTATTGTGGTTCAAAGGTTACGAATCCCTCTTTGACAGACTAAACGCCACATGACCCACAGCCTGACCGTAAGTAGGGTCAAAAATCTACCAGTTGTGATTTGAAAATTAAAAACAACCCAATTATGAACACTCAGGTCTAATGTTGTTGGTCGAGCCTGTATGAATTATGCCCTTTTAAACCTACAAAAATTATGCAATTTCCAGCACAGACCACCTGAAATGATACTTTAAATAAATGTTGCTTCTTTTACCTTCTGCAGGGTGAATGGCATCCAAGAAGAGTTGCTTGTTTGACCATTTATCCCCACTTCCTAAAAACAATGACAGAAAAGGAAAGTGAGCCTCTACCCCTAGTACAGACACATACACTATAAAAATAAGACAACACACGAAACGACTTAAATAAAAAGCATTATCAGACAAATGAAGCAGAATTTTACCTCAACTATTTAATTCTCAAAACTGCATTTGCCAACTAAAATAATTAGGTTATATAGGAGATGCATTAAACAACTTTGCCTTTCATAAAATATGTTGTTGGATAATTTCTAGGACTTTAATCAAGATACTCTGAGGATCGGTTGAAAGGTAACGATGAAACCTGACATTTTACCTAAAGAGTGATACCTCTCCACTGGAAGCAGGGAAGAAATATTAACACATAAAACAAAACTAAGAGGCCAAAGTGGGGGTGAATATAAAACCCAAATTAAGTAAAATGTTACACAAAAGACCACACAGGCACGTATGTCTACACACAGAAGACAGCTGCAGTTTAAGCCTCATTCCAGAGATATGGAAGGCTCCACATCTGGCCATGCAAGTAGGATGCAAATGGGCATCGAATGAATAGGTTCATGGCAGTCACGACACTAACATGCAGAGAGATGCCAGAGAAAGCCTGACTTCCAGGACATGTGGCTGTATTCAACCAGATGGATTCTTTCTTCTGTGTGAAAGAAGAATGGGAGTCCTGAACTGTGAGAAGAGAGAAATCTTCAGATGAGCCCTGAAGAGGTTCAAGGGCCATCTAGATCGTAACAACGAGACAGATGCTCAGAGTAAAGGGAGGGTCGAGTGCGTATGTCTCTAGTGCCCTCTGGAAATAACAGTTACGTGAATGAAGGAGGTGGGACGAGTCTAGCAAACGAAGTATACAGATAGAAAAAAAGAGGTTACAACGTGGGAATGGAATCCTTCTTGACAAGAATCCTCGGGTGTCAGAGAAAGTACAGAAACTGGGAGACTATCACATGAATATGAAACTGATACGATTTCAAGAGGTAGGAAACTGTGGTCCTGGTATGAAGGCTGCCAAACGTGAAAAAAATCAAGAATAGTTGAAGAAAATAAGCAGAGAAGAGCTTAAGAAGACTAAATAACAAAATGTGCCAAATACAGACAAAAAAAAAAGCAATTTCAGGATTCATGTGGAACTCTGAAAAGAGACACACAGGATTTGATTAGGAATCCAAGAGAAGGAGACCTCTCTTTGCATTTAGCTGCAGAGTCTAGAAATATTGAATGTGCCTGTGTCAGGAGCCGATGACACTGAAGCAAGCAGAGGGGAAGCAGAGGCAAAGGCGGTGCAGTGAAGCATCACTCAAAGATGGATTCACAATGGAGGTGGCCGAGAAACCTTAATGGAGGATGGAAGGCACCAATACCTTTTTCCGGAACATTAGGCTTCTCCTTTTTGTGCTTATATTTGCTGACAATTTTGTGGAATAAGTTCTTTTTCTGAGACTGGAAAGGACCTACAGACAATATTAATATAAATATATTTAAAATTCACAATGCTTCATAAAACAATACTGTGTATTTCTAAACAATTACACCCTCTCCCAACCTGTGGAATAAGCAAACTGAGTCACAAGAAATGTCATCTTGCATCTTTTTTTTTTTTCATCTAATTTATGCTTAAGTGCCCTTCCCTGGACTTATTGAAAACCCAGTGAGTTTTTCCTTAGAAATGTATTGGGCAGAAGCCTCCATTAGGGCTGGGACTCCCTCAGCAGAAACTGCAGATTCAGTGACTAGAGACAGACCACAACCAGTTAACAGCAGAGCAGATGTAGTCTGTAATAAAGAAGAGATTTTACTTTAGATTCCTGAATATCACAAAGATGGCATGGGTATTTCCTCTCTCCTAAGAAACTGATTTTTCACAAGGACAGCACTTTGAGGACAAAGATCAAGTTGGCCCGATGGCATAAGATAGCTTTCTAGCTTTTTCTGAGGACATTCTAGGAAGAAAAACGTGTTTAAAAATAGAAAAATATTTGCTGAAACTGTTTGAGGGGGGAGGGGCAGCAGGGATCAGGAAATAAGGAGATCTCAGACTGTGTCTTAGTTTTCCCAGATAAAGAAAACTGGGATTTTTCAGTTACCCATCAGAAATGCCAACAATAGCACTGACTTTCCAAAAGTAGGTTGTTTTCTACACTTTGCTGATATTCCTCCGTGAAACTGACAGTCATTTTACGTAACTTCTGTTTCCTCATCTGTAAATGTGGGTAATAACAGTGCCTAACTCACGGGGGTGAAATGAGGACTCACAAGGTCAGAAGCTCTGCAAACTGCCCTGCTGCGTCTCCCCAGCTACCTGCATCTGCGCCCACGTGCCCTGCCTTCCTGCCAGAGGCAAACTATCTGTGCTCCTGTCTAAAGTATACAATTCAGTAGTTTTTATATTCACCAATACTGGCAACCACCATCACTTTCAGAACATTTTCACCACCTCAAAAATAAATCTCATGTCCTTTTGCTGTGACTGCTCCCTTATCTGCAGTCTCTCTACCCCTGAGCAATCACTATCTACTTTCAGTCTCCATAGATTTGCTTATCCCGGAAATTTTCCTACAAATGGAATCACAGAACAGGATTTACATTTCATATAAATGGAATCATATAATATGGTCTATGGTTTCTGGATTCTTTCACAGGGTATAATATTTGCAAGGCTCCTTCATGTTGTAGCATGTATCAGTATTTCACTCCTCTTTAAGGTCAAATAATAATCCATTGTGTGAATACACCATATCTGTTTATCCATTCATCAGCGGATGGACATTTGTTTCCACCTCTTGCCTGTCATGAATAATCCTGTTATGAACATCCACGTACAGGCTTTTGTGCAGATACGTGTATTCATTTCTCTTGGACATCTACCTAGGAGTGGAATTGCTGCATCATAATAGTAAGTCTGTTTAACCTTTTGAGGAACTGCCACACTGCTTAACATCCTCAACCAAACTTACTATCTTCTTCTTGACTACAGCCATCACGAGGAGGCGAAATGGTATCTTTCTTATTGCGGTTCTGGTAGCCATTTCCCTGATGACTAATAATGCCAAGCATGTTTTCAAGTGCTTTTTGAGTTGCCTTTTCTTCTTGTTGAGTTGCAAGAGTTCTTTACATATTCTAGATATAAGTCCCTTCTGTCAGATATGTGATTTGCCAATATTTTCTCCCATTCTGTGGGACATTTCTTTACTTTCTTACTAGTGTCCTTTGAAGAACAAAAGTTTAACATTTTGATATAGTCCAACTTATCATTTTGACTTTTTTTGCTTGGGCTTTTGGTGTTCTGTCAAAGGATCCATTGCCAAATCTGAGGTCATCAAGATTGATGTCTGTGTTTTCTCTGAAAAACTTACATAATTTTAGCTCTTACATTTAGGTCTTTGATCCATTTTGAGTTAATTTTTGTACACTGTGTGAGGTAAGTAAGGGTCCAACTTCATTTTTTTTTTTTTTGCATGCAGACATCCAGCTGTCCCAGCACCAATTTTTGAAAAAACTGTTCTTTTCCTAGTGACTAGTCTTGGCATCCTCACTGAAAATCTATTTACCAATGATGTGTAGATTTATTTCTGGACCATCAGTTCTATTCTATTGACCTCTATATGTCTATGTTTATGGCAGGACTATGCTGTCTTAACTACTATTTTTGTAGCCAGTTTTGAAACTGAGAAGACCATTTTGGCTATTCTGAATCTCTCTCAATTCCACATTAATTTTATGATCACTTGTCAGTATCTACAAAGAAGCAAGCTAAGATTCTAATAAGGATTGGGTTGAATCTGTAGATCAGTTTGAGGGAGTGTTTCCAACGTAACAGTACTAAGTCTTCTGATCCATGAACATGGGATATTTTCCCATTTATTTCAGTCATCTTTCTTTCAATAATGTTTTGTAGCTTTCAGTGTGTTGCACTTATTTTGTTGAATTTATTCCCAAGTACTTTACTCTTTTTGATGCTATTGTAAATGGAATTGTTTTCCTGATTTCATTTTCAGATCACTCATTTCAAGCACATAGAAATACAACTGAATTTTGTATAATGATCTTGCATATTGAAACCCTGCTGAACTCATTTATCAGCAATAACAGTTTTCTAGTGGATTCCTTATTTTTCTATACAAAAGATCATGTCAGCTGAGAGTCGAGATAGTAATAGTTTTTCCTTTCCACAATCTGGATGCCTTTTGTTTCTTTTTCTTGGCTAGAACTTCCACTACACTGCCGAATAGAAATGGTGGAAGTGGACATCCTTGTTTTGCTCTCCACCTTAGGGGGAAAGCAACCAATCCTTTACCTTTAAGCCTAAGTTTTTTGTAGATGTCCTTTATCAGGCTCAGGAAGTTCCCTTCTATTCTGAGTTTGCTGGGTGTTATATGAAAGGGTGTTGAATGTATCAAATGCTTTTTCTATATCCACTGAGATGGCCTTGTGGATTTTTCTTCATTGTTGTTCTTTTGATATGCAATATTATGTTAATTGATTTCTGGATGTTAAACCAACCTTGCATTTCTGGGTAAAATCCCAGCTGGCCATAGTATGTAATTCTTGTATGGATTCAGTTTGTTAACATTTTGTTAAGGCTTTTTGTGCCCAAAGCTGTAAGAGACGGTGATCTGCAGTTTTTCTTTCTTGTCAGGTGTTTTGACATTAGGGTAATACTGACCTTATAGAATGAGTTGGAAAGTGTTCCTTCATCTTCTAATTTTATAGACAAGCATATGAAAAACTTGTATTAATTCTTCTTTACATGTTTGGTAGAATTCAGTGGTGAAGCCATCTGGGCCTTCGACTTTTTGAGAGATAAACCACTTTTTCGATAACTAAATTCAACACGTATACTAGTTATAGGTCTATTCAGATTGTCAATTTCTTCTTAAGTCAATTTCAGCAGTCTGTGCCTTTCTAGTAATTGTCCATTTCATGTAGGTTATCTTATCTATTGGCATATAATTGTTCATAATATTCCTTGATAATCCCTTCCACTTTTGTAAGGTCAGTAGTAACGGCCCCTATTTCATTTCTGATTCTAATAATTTGAGTCTTCTTTTTTTCTTGATCAGTTTAGCTAAACACTTCTCAAACTTACTGTTCTTTTCAAAGAATTAGCTTTTGGTTTCAATGAATTTCTCTATTGTTTTCCTATTCTTTAATTATTTTCATTTCATTAATTTCCTCTCTAATCTTTATTATTTTCTTTCTTCTACTCCCTTTAGGTTTAGTTTGTTCTTTTTCTGACAGTATCTCAAGACAGCTTAGGTTATTGATTTGAGATCTTTCTTCTTTCATAACATATGCATTTATATCTGTAAACTTTCCTCTAAGCAACGCTTTAGTTGTATCCTATAAATTTTGGTATGCTGTGTTTTCATTTTATTTATCTCCATTTTCATTTTATTTATCTCAAAGTATTTTCATATTTCCCTATTGACTTCTTTGATTTACTGGTTATTTAGAGTATATTGTTTAATTTCCACATATTTGAATGTTCTATAATTGTCTGCTACATCTAGTTATTGCCCAGTGTTCAAGTCTTCTCCTTCCTTGCTGATCTTCTGCCTAGTTGTTCTATCAAACCTATTCTTTTTTCTATATTGCTGCTCACCTTCTAACACATTATATACTTTTCTTATTGTTTAGGGCTTGCTTATAGTCCGGCATTCCCACTATAATGTAACCTCCATCGAAGCAGGGTTCTCTGTTTTCATTCACAGATATATTCTACATATCTAGAATGGTGTTTAACACATGACTAGTTCTCAATAATATTGTTGCATGAACAAATAAAGTTTCTAAAACACTGGATGGCACCAACAAAGAGCTTAAGAAGTGACAGCTGTTGTTGTTATTACTAATAACATAAAGGTGTGCAAGTGTTTTATGATGACTACACCAAGCCATCCTTCTAAATAACCAGTAGCAAATACTTCTGAATTAGCTGCTGGTGGTTTGAAATGGAAACAGAAAATGCTTCTTATTTGTTTTTTGTTTTTTGGGGGGAGAAGGGCAGGGAGCAACCAAGAAGGGCAAGAAAATAAATTTAACAAACAAAAAGCAAGTATATCATGTACGTATACTACACTAATATTACAGGTATCCTCTATGGTTCACTTGCAATCACTCATATGTATTTTATACAACCTAGGAAACTGCAGGCTGGTGAACCTGAATGACACATACATGGGTAATCACGGAAAACAGAAGGAGAAGAAAGCAGAAAAACAAACCTGAGACTTCTCAGGACCATAAGGACCCTAAGGGTTTACGCAAAGGGAAAGAATTTAGTAACAGTAAGGTATTGGCTCATAGGGAGAATGATTTCTGTATTCATCACTGTGTATAAGAACAATGGAATAAGGAGGTGGTTCACAGAAGCAAATTGATTTGATGTATGGAATGATGTTTGATGTTAAGAAAGAAGAAAAGAATACATATTTTCAGGTCCAATCAAACTAGAGAAATCTAAAAAGTACAATTTAAGGACAAGGCTAAATATAGAGCTTGTCAACATTAATATGAAAAAAGAACATGAGTGGTTTAGTACACAGAAAAGCTCCTATAAACTTACATCTTTAAACTTCCTTGCTCTGGCCATCCCCAAACTGTAACTATAAACCAAATCTAAGTAAATGACAACCTCAGATAAAAAAGTAATGAACCTGAAGGAGTAATAGGATTGTATTTACTGAAAAGCAGCAATTTTAGAGTCAAGAAGTGAACAATTCGATTCCTACCCCCCAGTATGGCACATATGTTTGCTATTTTGTCTAAAGAAAACAGTCAAAATTTGTAATAAATAGCAAATATAAGAAAATTTACTATTTTTTCCTTAGTTAATTGTTACCTTACTGTAGAAATGTCTAGGGAGGGAAAAGAAGGTAGGAAGTCAAAGGAAAGACAAGAGTTTTAGAAGGAATCATTCAGAAAGCAAAGAACTGGCAACTGTCTTCCACTAAACCACCTCAAGTTTCTATGCTGGCTCATCCCCTAAATCTTCCTACCAAATGTCTTGAAAGACTGTATCAGTTTCCACTTCCTATGACAAAATCACCTGTTAACTGGCGTGTAAGCTAGCTTAGGACTCCACATTTCCTTTTGGGTAGAATGGCATGTATTTTTGAAGGTATAACTTTCTCTTGTACCCCAGCTTCACAGCTGGGTAGAAAAGAGCAGAGACACCATAATCTGAGAGGGCAAAAGGGGTGCCATAGAGGCATTAACAGTAACTTTTCCAAAACATTAATGTTGTTCATGGTTTGCTGAAAAATAGACATGTTTTGGCTGAGAAGTGTAGTGACACAGGAGCCATTTCAGTATTAGTGTGGTATGGCAATTTTTCAAAGTCAGCAGGTAAGGTGAATTAAGAGAAACTTGCTCTTTAAAACTGTTGTAGGAAACAAATGTTAGGCATAACTTGAATGGTGGTGGCTTAATGCCCAGTTTCATATTTTTAAGCTATAAAAAGAGCAAAAGGTTTTATGCTAAGACAAGGGTGTAATTTCTGTAATGGATGTAAAGAATGAATGATCAATGAAACAATAAATTCCTTTGTAATAGTGTATAGAAAAGTGCTTACAGCTGCTGGGCATATGGATCTGTGGACTTGATTAAGTTCAAGCAAACCAGCCACAATCAAGTTAGGACTCACTGAGGAGAAGGAGCCACCTTATTGGGCTAGACATGCGTGCCTCATTAAAAAAAACTCGGGATTATATTAGGTATACCTTTTATATCTGCAAATGCATTGTCATCATGTTTATGAAAATGTTTGGTGGCAATGAAACTCACAGTTACAGAACAAAAAAGCAGAGCTCTGCCCAACCTGGAAGCTATCATTTCCTGATAGGAAAGAATGGCCCAGCTCTCATTAGATCTTGGTTCTCGAGCACTGACAGTGTCTGTAGGTTGGCTCAATCCCAAACAGGGGATTCTGTCCTCAATCTTTAATTTTGTAAACCTGCTTCTTTTATTACTACTGTGGTTTTTTTTTAAATCTCTAATCCTTAACCATTTGATATTTCAATCTTGCAATAAGTGTGCATTGGAAAAAATGAGAAAGACCAACAGTATGTTTGATAATGGGCTAAAAAACAATGTGAAAAGATAAAGAGATAAGGGAGGAAAACTTAAGTCAAGGGTCAAGTTTGGGCATAATTTAAACAATCTAAATTGAACTCAAGTAACTTTCTCTCCATGACCCAACCTCGCTTGAAAATTACTATTTTGCAGAGCACTCTGACTTCTGATAGTTTTGTAAAAAGTGCTTCATATATTAACAGTATACTTTAAGTAATATGTCAAACAAATCTCTTAAGAAGTAGCAATTAAATTCAGACTTATAATTTAAAGCTTTCACTTGAATATATACAAGTAACTGTGAGAGATAAACCAGAAAATACTATAGGAATGGGCTGCTTCAGCCGACTTGCAATCTGAGTTAAACGGATCATAATTTCCTGGATAATTTGTTCTTAGAAGCAAAGGGAAATTCTATTCCTAAATCATCTATATCCTAAGTCTACTGTAATGTAGTCTGAGCCTCATTTGAGGAAGGTGACATCGATTATTTTCACCCATTTTTATTGTATAGTTTCTGACAAGATCTATTACATAGACATAAGGGACAGGGCAGAGATAGTGGAGGGGATCATGGGAAAGGGGAAGAGACTACTTGGAAATACAGATATAAAGAAGATCACCACTGGAAAAACAGAAGTGTAAGACCAAGCAGGTACTATGATTTTGAGATATATAACTATATAAATGCATATGTAATCATTTCCTCTAGAAATTACATTTCAGAAAAAAATCTATATATTTTATATAATCTGAAATATTTTTTTTAAAAGTACCTAGTTTAAGTCAGGGAAAGAAACATAATGAATGTCAAATAAAAAATAAAGGAGAAAATAAAATACAAACAAATGGTGAACACTTTGAGAAAAAAATGAGGTCTCCTATGAACACATACTCCTTTACTAATGAACTAAGGATCTCACACACAGTGTTTGCTTTGAACAATTCATTATGCAAAGATGCAGAGGGTCTAGAGTCTAAGAAAACAATCTCTTCTATCCGCTAAAGATCAGGCAATTAAAGCACAGCTGGTATGATAATTTCATTAATAACTTGTAGGATAGTACACTGGTGCTGCTAATGCCAAATTACAATCAGTCATAAATACTATTTCTTTCGTTTGCTAAATACAGAATATATTATTTAATTTCTGCTTTATTTTAATTGCATTTTGCTCCATGAGTTGGAATGCAGGGCAAAATCTAAGGTCTTAACAGACTTCCCACCTATGTAGTTACTGATACACTGTATAAAAACCAGGGATTTTGTGGCTTGAGAGGCATAACGGAAGAGTTAAGATGATATTGTATGAAGTAATAATCCAAAGCACCAAAAAGCTATTTCACATCAAAAGAAATACTGTTAATCTCAGCTGGGAGAGGAAAAACATGTAACAGACAACCAAGATCCAAGAGAAGGTCTCATGAAAATAGATCCTAACTTCAGGGTTTTATAGCTTTACAAAAATAAATCTATTGTTACAGTTCCTGAAAGATAATTCGGCCAACTTCAGAGCTCTAAAATGAATGTTTCAGACTGCAAGTAGAGGAAGAGAATGCATCCTTCACATCAATCAATTAAGTTCCATTTTATTGGCCTGTCAGGTGTTTATCAGCAACTTTAAATCCTTGAATTATGGGGGCTCAAGGTACCTGGCAGGCATCTTTGGGCTCACGGACTACTTTGCGTACTCCTAAGTATCTCGAGGGCGCAAGGACTGTCATTTCACTTGGTAATCTATTATGTGTTCAGCTACCTATCTGTCAACAAGCTGCTTTATTTCTTTCCTGCTTATCTGGGAAAATCTCAGAACAACCTTATTTTATTTTCCCAGATGAGCAAACTTGGTGATGCAACATTTCTTTTTTAGTTCTTTATTTACTAGACTTGTTTTTATTAACCACAGCGGAAAACTGAGCTAATTCTAAAATCACTTTTACATTCCTCCCTGCCTTTAATCATGAAGGGGGAATTTTCTTCAGCCTTCAAATCCATCTTGAGATACAGATCTCAAAGTGACCCTCCCCAGTTGTTTCAACTGCAGTGTACAAGGAGGGGTTTTCAGGTCTTGAGGGAGAACCTAAACAGGTTTCTTCAGAGACATAATTTTTCCTCGACATACACCTTCTATCTTCTCCCCAAATCCATGAAATCACATATCTCAATATTTATCTTTGATTATTATCTATGATTGCTACATTTTAGCAAGATTTACATAAAGATTAATATCATTATCTATCCATCCATCTGACCAAAATACACAAAAGAACAGAATTAATCTGATTCGACATTAAGCAAGGAACAGGTATCCACTTTTACAGGAAAATTAGAAGAACCCTTTCATCAAATCCTGCTCTGACTTTGACCCTGGAAACAACAGAACCTTGGTCACACTAGCTCTTCATCTCTCCATTCACCATCCTGACAAGAGAGCTACCAAAGTCTTTCATATCTCGGTGGAAAACTAGAAGCATATTTCCCCATCAATCTTTAGACCTGAAGTAAAATCAGAAGACAAGTTTCTCAATGGGAGCAATACTGTTGTTTTGGGTAGCACAATCTTTTATTGTATTTGAATGTCCCGCATAGGTGAGGATATTTAGAACCCCAGCTTCTGCCCCTGTCCCACAAATGTAACGGTGGTTCCAGATGTTGAGGCCACTGAAAATGTCCCCACACTCTTTAAACCCCCTCATGAACTACAGTGTTGCCCCAATGAGTGCTGAGATCCACCCAAGTCATGTTGATAATTTAAAAAGCTTCCCTGATATACACAGAGGAGAATCTGACATTCCTGGAAATGAATATGCTAAACACAGTATTTTTCTAAATTTAACAAAACCAATAAAAATATATTGCCAGAGTATTGTGGGGAGTCTTATTTTCATTTGGTTCATAATGCCAGCAAAGAATAGAGTCTGCTTACTAGGTCAATGTTAGAATTTCACTGCCCCAGAGTCCAACCTGTTGCAGACACACAGACAACAGAAGAATTGGACTCAGCACTCAGCCAGCAGTTTCTGCACAAGAAAAGCTCAAGGTACCCAGTTTGAATTCTGGAGAGCAGAAAGTAGAAGGCCATATGTAACACTTTCAAGAGAGCTACACATTTAAATGCAAATGTACCCAGGTTGAGATGCCAAAGGATGGAGACTGAGGAGAACTAGGAAGGAAAGAAGGGAGAAAGAAGTGAGCAAGAATCAAGATAATCTTTGAAAGCAACCTGAAATTCCAACTCACTACTGCTTCAATTCTAAACCCGACTGCGTATCTAAAGGGAGCTGCAGAGGCTTAGAAGAGGTTAGATTCTGACCGCGCTGCATGAAGGCACAGCACACATCTAACCTTTGCTGGTTTTAGTCGGTTCTGAGGACATATTTCCAGTCTTCTTCTTTTTTCTTGGGACAGGTACACATTTCCGGTCAAATGTAACAGGACTGTATTGAGGGAGGCTGTTGAATTTCTTTTCAAATTCTTCATCCAGCTTTGCTGAGCTAATAAAAAAAGGGGAGGGGGATAGAATCAATCAGCACATGATGTAAATATTAAAACAGAAAATGATACAAGGTATATTTTAAAATATTTCATTTGAAAATGGGGTCCCTAAGAATTAGGGCATTGTTAATAAATTCTTTTCAAGGACAAAAAACATCTTTTTAGAAATGCTTGAAAAGATTTACCAGCACGGTTTTCTTAGTAAACTCACATGAAAGATTATGTTATTACCTTAGAAAAGCAGGAACATTAGATAAAATAACAGAATATTTTTGAAAGTGAGAATTTGCTGTTCTCTCCCTTAGCATGAGAATTTTTTATTAAATTCAACACAAAGCATATTCCATTCAGATAAGTTTCTCATTCTAAAGATTCTCATATACACATATATACACTGTCAAGCTTACTGATAATATAGTATATTGGTAATTTTGTAAGCTTAATTTAAAAAAAAATCTATTGACTATTTAGTACTTAATTAAAACATACCTTTACAAAGAAAATGCAAACAAATATTCTGAATATCAGAAAAAAAAATTCTGCACAGTTGACCAGGATGAGGACAAAACACTCAATGAGAAAAGTAAAGCCAGTTATCAATGAACACATTGGCAGAGAGGCAACATCGTTTTAACGCAAACCACAAATGACTTCAGAAAATGTCACCCGTGAAGTTGGGAAATCCTTAGCCTGCTTTTGACAGTCTCTAAGGCCCCTATACGGCAATGCCAGCATGCCTGCTGGAGCCTAGGCTGGCTGCTGGCTTTCCTTTATAGTGAGACTTATTAACTAAGATGCAACCCAAACAGATGGGAGAGGCTGCGGGAGAAATGCTGTGCTCGGTAGATGGAAAAGGGAAGGCATACTGGGAAGAGAGCAGCTTGGAGTACAGACTTACAAGAAGCCAGTGTGTTAGGCTGCTGCCTGGGGGATGTACGTGATATATGTCCACCTAAGACTGTTCTCAGTTCTGGAGGAATGTACAAGAATTGGAAGAAGTGGTAAGACAGTCAAGGTGACCACCAAAATGGCCAACAGAAAAAGGCTACTACTCAGATATATCACAGCAGTGAATAGTGGTAGGCAGGGGTGATGTTTCTCCCTCAAAATTGTCTGTCCTCATTTCAGTTAAAACATGTTTATACTAATGGAAAATCAGATACTATCAGAAAGCTAAGTCATGAATTTTTCAGATACTAAATAACTGAAAGAAAAATATGCAAATGCAAGATGTAACTCATAAGGTCTCTTGGGACCTTTTTTCCCTTTTTTCAACTAGAATAATCACCTATGTTTTTCTTGGAGAAGGCTGCCAAAAAGTAGAAGTGCCAACAGAGTGAATTTTTTATTGGCTACAGTTAACTAAACAGGTAGCACATTTTCTGTGATAAAAAGGTTTAAAATGCTCATTTAGGAATCTCAGAGAAGACTGACAGGACCTGGCATTTTTCACTGCTAAATCACTATGTTAGCATGTTCTAAACAAAGCAAACTCAGACAGTCTGATTCTGACAGGCCAATATTTAAAGAAAGGAGAGGAGGAGAGACCAGAGTTTGACCACTGATTCAGCCTGTAGAAAACCACATCCCCACTTAAGTACATGTGGCTTCCTTAGAAATGATTAAAACAAATAAACAAAGACACCCCACACCCCAGTCTCTTTTCAGGAACAGACTCTCAAAAGATTCTTTCACTTTTCTTGTCCCTCAGAGAAGATTGGTGAAAGCACCTCTCCCACTAGTTTAGTTTCTAATGGAAGCATCAGAGAACTTTCTGCTGGGGAACCCTCATGCCTGCTTTATTTCCCTGGGCCTTCATACTGTCTGCAGCAAGACCTGCCCCTCTCTCAGCATGCAGACCCACAGGGCAAGGAGTTCCAGAAGATACAGACACTTGGTCTGATGCTCAGTCGTCACTTTTTTAGGAAATTCTGCATTTAAAAGTATTTGACTATGACAAATGTAAAGGCTGTCATGCCACTGTTTAAGCATGATGTAAGCAAAACTAATCTGAATACTTCGGACTTCAAAAATATTAGAACGGAAATATTTAAAATTATAAATATATAGTCATCATCATGAGAAATAATTTCCACCCTTGCACTATGTGATGATGTAGAGCCTTAGGATAAACCAAACTTTAAAGGACTGCAATGTCCAGTTGAAAAAAAAATATTATCCCACATACAGAAATGCAAATATTTATGAATAACCACATACGATACTCCCAATGCATAAAATTTGCATACCTTTAAACACACTTATGAAAAAATGTGGAATATACGAAAATGTACTTATTTCCATTCCCCAATGTATTCTTTTCAAATTGGGCTAATGAGAAACTGCAAAGGATTTTCAAAATAGGACAACTGAACACACAGATGCTTTCCTCAGCAATATAAAGTACTGGATCTCCTAAATAACAAAGTGCTTTGTGTGAAGACTGGTATTAGGAGTCTGTTTTATATCATAAAAAATGAAATAATTCTTAATGATATTATCTTGACACACGCTATTTCTTGATACTGCATTTTATTACATAATTAGTTACTGAACAGTCTCTGTATGAAGAGAATATGTAATCTAAAATTTTATCTTAGAGCAACAGAACATGGTTTAAACAAAACAAGGTTAGAGGTGGAAACATAATTTTATTTATAGTTTCATTATTTTATAAACATGTACATAACCTTTAGGAATATTAAATGAAGTACATACAGTATGTAAGATTAGCAAAACGTGAACATACTTACACAGTATCCGTCGTAAACTTCAGAAGGGAAATGCACCTGGTGATACCAAAGGATTTACAATGTCACACCACTAGTGGGGTGGACCTTCATTCAAACTCAGGCCTAAGTCTAAAATCTACATATTCTCCACTGTACTTCAAATGTGAGTGACACTATCACTCACATAACCATGTTAACAGCAGGAATCACGTGATACACCTGATTTGTATTCCTTCACCTGTTCACTAAGACCGCAGTACGTGCTGAACGGATACGCAAAGAACAAGCAGTTAGTGATTTGTTTACCCTGGAAATCTCACCACACTTGGCGTCTGTGTAGTGTGACTGACTGTGCTCGCAGGCACTTACCCGAGGAGAGAATCTTCCTTTGTCTTTGTCTTCTTGAACTTCTTGCTCCCACTGGTCCCACTCTGGTTAAATGTCCAGCTTTCTTCACTCCAACACCCCTCATGATCGGAGGAGTTTCCTTTTCCTGAGCTTCGTTTCCCTAAGGAAATTCGACAGGAAGAGTGTGCTTCGTATATGGGGACGGAGGGCAAATCATCTCAGCTGCTTCACAAGCAACCTCCTCACTCCTCAGCTAGCATTTGCATGATGCTATTAACTATTTCAGAGTGGTCAGAGTGATCTGGACCACCCTCCATAACAGAACATGCAGAAAAGGAGCTTACGGCCTCTGAGATTCATTGTCTTATCACAACTCAACAGGTACCACACGGCTCATGAAACAGACTAACTACTGCTAGCTTTTCCATTAGAGAATCAGCCTGAAGTGTGAGAGCCTTTTGCTGATGGGCACTATGAATTCTAATTTCCCCAAGACATATGGAATGACATCCCTGGAGAACTATGTATTTTCTCAAGGATATTCATTCAGGACAACTCAGACAAATTTTTACACATCTCTATAGTTGAAATTTCACGTGGCAAGAGGTAAGTCCTGTAGCCAGATACTGTATTTTAAAATAGATGAGTGTTTATGAAACACTCTATGGAATAAAAGTATATACATTAACTGGTTTCTAGATATTATTATGTTTTAAAGAGAACTTCTCTTCAATTATAGTTTTGATTTCCTAGTGGGGGAGGCTAGGTAAGTTTTTTGCTTCTAGAGCCTACAGGTCAAGATTCTGCCAAACATGTCTGCTTGATTCAGAAAATTATTTCCAGCAGTTTTAAAAACCAGAGCTCCAAGCACACAAAACTGAGCCTTCAAAATAAAAAGCCAGTCCATACCAGTAAAAAAAAGGTTTGAATAACTCTGAACACTTACATCCTGAGAACTATGTACAAAATAAATGCAAACGCTTCTCAATGGTTCCAGAAAACATACAGGTAAAACGACAAATGTATGTGACCTAAAACCATAAAGAATTGTACAAATGTAAAATATTATTTTGATACTCTATTGTTCTTTCTTTAAGGTGGTTCTTTTCAATAGGTCTAAAGGAGCAATTCTGCCAGGTTTCAGATTTGGAGAAGTCACCTACCTCTGTCAACATTAGCTCGCAGAGAGGTGAGCATGCCCTCAGACACCAGGGTTTTATAAAGAGCACCTTTGCAAGACCTCTCAGATTTCCGGGAGCCACAAGTCTCTATTTTCCTGTGACAGTCACTGTCCTCAGGCTTGGCCTGTCCCGATAGGCTGGGTGGTAATGCATCTTCCGTAGGGGTCAATGGTTCTGCTTTTATACCCTCTGGCACCTCACCAGGAATGTTCTTGCTGGCAGAAATACTGATGAAATCTGGAGGTCTTGACTCTTTGGTAGTGTCTGAGGATTTCTCCTTGGACATTTTCTTCTCTCTTGATTTCACTTTTTTCTTTGGTGGCTTGGCATCCAGAATGCTTCCCTTGCCACTCGAGGATGTGCGGACCTTCTTGCGAGGGGTTTCTCCAAGTTTCTCGATGCCCCAGTCTCCCTTTGCAACAGCTTCAATGGTGTATATGACACTCTCGATGTCAGACTCTGAGGACTGCCTCTTTTTGCAAGTCTTCTTGGGTGTGGATTTATCACTTCCGTGTCGATCTATTTTGCTTTTCTTCTTTTTCTTTTTCAGCTTTTCTGGTTTGTTTAATGCTGTGGGATCCTCAATGATCATAATTCCATGAGGATGGCACATGTGATCCTTTCTACTGGGAACATCACTTATTATTATCTTGCTACTAGCAGAGTAAGAAAAATCAGGGAAGTGACTACATTTTTGATCTTCCTCTAATTCCTCCTTTTTAATTTCTTTGGGATCTTCCATTTTTACACCCATTATATCACCCATTTGCAGCTCCTCAAAATTTCTTAATTCCTTAGACTCTCTTACATTCTCCTTAGCTGATTTTTCAAATTCTGCTTCTTTCTGTAGCCTGGCTTCTTCTGTTTTTTCCATTTTTATTTCTCTTTCTTCCTTCCCCTTCTCCAATTCTTTCATTCTTCCACCATCTGATTCTTTAGCTTTTATTAGCTTTGATTCTTCTATTTTCACCCCCTCTGATGCCAGGCACATCTAAACAGTTAAGACAAACATGAGAGAATAATAAAAAATGTCATTATTCAATATCTGAAATTAGTTTAAACTTCTTCATTACATCCTTTTAAAAAAATAATCAAAACAAACTTCAAACTTTACAATAGCAAGTCCACTTCTGCCGAACTAACTTAAATGATTCAAATCAATAAAAGGTTTTGACATACTCATTTAACTCCAGAGGAACATGCATAATCAAATTCCCATTTTCCAGCTTCTAATGAAGCTTTTCCTATGAAAACAAACTTTGGTAAAAGAAGGATAGGACCTAGAGTTGAAAGACCTGAGTGTGAGTCTTCATTTTGCTACTTGCTAACTATGTGCCTAGAATGAGTCATTTCAGTCCTCTCTAATCTGCTACCTTTGTAAAATAAAAATGGTAAGGATAGTTGTCTCAGAGGATTCTGTGAGGTCTAAGTGAGATGATGTATTTATGGCAGTACTTAGTAAATCATCCCCAAACTCTGTTCAGATATCTGCCTTTTCTTTTTTCTTGGAGAAATGAGGAAAATAGCAATAATTTCTACCTAGCCACTTGAAATTGGAAATGCTAAGATGACTCATTAAACAACTACAGGTTTTAGGTAATGAACAAAACATTACAGGCCCACAAATGCTGACAGATAACTTCAAGATCACAAAAGCTCTGGAAAATAAGTGGTAGGGTTTTTTGTTTTTAACTCATTTGAGGGCAAACTCCATCTGAGGCGAACTTACCTGGCTACAAATTCTGACCAGAACTAATATAAAACCGCTTAACATGTTACGTTCATTTATCTCACCTTAATGTGACTATTCATATGTTTTTGTTATCAAATCTCCATGAATCTGAATATGCACTGGGGGAATTAATGGCATACTGTAAGATATATATACTGTATCATTTTCCTAAAATCCGGAGAATTTAGAATACCAAAACACATTGGATGCAATTTGGTTAAGATTTTAATCTCCCCAAATTTCACATACAGGGTATTTAAGGAGAAACTTGCCATCTTCCTCTCCAGCAACCAAGTAATCTCGAAACTGCGATCTAAAGCTATTTTCTAAAAGAGGTAATTACAGCTTATTGTAAAATTCATTGTCAGTGCTGGGTTTTCATTTCATGAACACTCCCTGTGAGTCCCCCAAGTGCCAGGCCCAGTGGAGGACATGAAAGCCCATCCCATGTTGTCCTGCCAGTCTCTCCCTCTCCACAGTCCCTCTGAGGCATTCATCACAAGTGACAAGGCCGATTAGGCCAAGGGCAGCACAGGAATTCTTAGCCATTACTCATGTTATCTACTTTGCATTGTCAATTTACAGGAAAAAGGCTATTAGGGCTTGCTGAGCCCCAAATCAAGCACATGAGTAGGAAACTGGTATGTTTTAAAAGAAAAAACCATCATTTCAACCAATGGCAAGTTGTCAGAGACCATTAACACCAATAAAATTCATTTCTTAAATGGATAATACATTGAATTAAACATTATATGCTAGTTTACATCATTTTTCGCCTTAGTACTTTCAATGCATCTCAAATCCTTCCGTAAGAATTATGTTATAATTAGTAAGTCTGGGAAGAAACTGAAGAGGCGGGGGGAGGGAAACAGGGAAGGTTTTGGAATAAAAAAAAAGGAACACGACAAAAGCACCCAGCCCTTCAGATCATTCACAGGGAAGAGCTGAAATATCATGGATTCAAAACAGAGCTGTCTTTTCAGAAAGTCATGTAAGTTAACTTTTAGACCTCAGCAAGTAGTTATAAAGACTGAGAACTTCCCTTTATTAAACTGAACCAGAAGTAAGATCAAAGCAAAATGTTATCTTACATTAATTGTGAAACACTGAGACATTTCATCTACTCTTTACTCTCATGGAAGACTTGCTGGTTTTGTATCAACTTTGAAAGAATTTTTATTTTCTTTTCTCAATTATCCTAGCCCTTCATGAATATAACTATCCCATACGGGGTCAGAGACTACGCTAGCTCTGGAAGGAAGGATAGAAAGGCATCCTCAAGGTAAATTTTAGTTTTCAACCACCATCACTCTGAAGGCCTTTAATAAGTCATTTCAGGGACCTCTGGCCACACAGGCACTGGTTTTTACAGTGGTATGCCAACAGTTTGCATTTGCACAGGTTCATCTCAGCAAACTCAATACTTTGCAAACTCTATTCTCGGCTTCAATATATTTCAAAACGATTCTCCTCATCACCCCAATAGGATTCTACACATAGGAATGAAATGGAACAAATGCAGACATTCACTCTGGGGACATATTCTGGGAAACAGCATAATATTTCTTGGTAAGGTAATTACACCAAGCACTAGCCATGCTTTACTTCCTTGTTTCAGGCTCTTAGAAGTTTTTTTCATAAATAGAGCATGTTGATTCTAAATTTTAAGAAAAAAAATGATACTGCTGGAAGCGAAAATATAAAAATAAAACAAATAACCACAAATCACAAGTCCCACTAACCAAAACCCAAGTAAACACAAATCAGATTCTCAGAGTCAGGTGCCACTCTAGAAGTTACCTAATTTAACATTCTTCCTGATGTAGAAATTCATTTTACTACAAAATTCCTGAGGATGACTTATTCAAACTTTTCACACAAAGACAGTGATCATATTAGAGGGCAGTTCTGTTTGAACACTTTAAATAGTAAGCAAAAAGTCTATAACCCTATCAGTATCTTAGTTGTTTCCTGAAGCCACTTAAATTAATCCACTTTTCTGTCACGTGACAGACTTTCAAATCCTAAAAGACAGACTTAATGTTCTTGTGAGTCTCTTCCCCTGGCATAATGTCCCCTTAACTGCTCATCACAAGTAAAATGAGCTGTTTTTGTATCAACTTTGACTTTTTGAAAGTTGTGTCTCTCTTATCTATATGCAGTATGGTGTCCTGAAGTGGGGATGGAGTTTACAGAAATAAGCTGGGTTCACATGCAAGCACCATACTTGCTTGCCTAAGGCCACACAGTGAGCTACGCAGCTTACATTTGAACTCGCATGAGGATATAAAGGCTGAGAAATGGGTAACAGTACATCCTCAGCTGGGCAAAAGCGAACAAATGTGCCTGAAAACAACTTGTAAATGACACAAAGCTTATAAGGGCTGGAGAATACTGATGCTTCAATTTAGCAATATTTTTCTTATATTACATTCCTAGCCTTCCTGTAATACTCTAGATGAAAAGTGGGACTATTTGTCAGTTGATAGGGACACTCATCTTCTAATGGGAACCAAAGACGAACTCCCCTCACTGATTTAAAAAAAAAAAAAAAAAAGGATGACTTTCTGGCTTATACTGGGCCTATAGTCAATTCAAATCCTGGATTTCATTACCCACATACCATGCTGGAAAGCTTGGTCTCTCTCATTCTGTATCTTCATACTTTTTGTACCTAGACGCAAGATTTTCCATTTCTCCTTATAAAGTACATCCTTTCAAAATCTGAATTAAATTACCTTCCAGCTTTGTTATAGACACATTTGATAAGGTTGCTTTTTCTATCTTCACCCAAATCTTTGTTGAGTAGGACATGGCCAAGGACAGAGGCTTCTGGCAAACCTCTAGAGCCCTTTCATCAGGTTGATTTGAACATTAATAAACTTCAGCAATCTAAGAATGCTTACTAATCCAGTCTAAATTTCCCCCATTTTGTTTACAATGACATCATATCTGTCAAAAGTCTTGCTGAAATCCAGATACAGTATGCCAATAGCATTGTCTTAGCCATTTTACAAGCATACAAAATAGAAAATGAGGATGGCGTGTGCACCAGTCAGGATCTAACTAGGCGAACAAATACAGCATAGCTAGCCGAGGGAGTTTAACGCAGGGAATAAGTTGACTGCACAGGTCATGAAGGACTGAGACACCCAAACAGGTGGTGAGGTAACCCAGGGATCAGCAACAGCAGGAACCCACAGCAGGGACAAATGGGGGAAGGAAGCCAGGGACTAGGTCCCCAGTGGAAGATGGAACCATGGTGGGCCAATCTGGAGGGAGCTGGACACATGGAAGAGATGCTGCCTTTGTTTTACCCCCACCCCTCCTCACCCCTTCCCTGCACATCCGAGACTCTCTCTTTCTCCCGCCCTCTAACCTTCCACCAATGTCTCCCACTGTCTAAACCTAGCTGGAAAGCAGGGGACATGGGAACCCAGGAAAGATAGTCCGCAGCCACCTGGGATAAGCTAGCATACAGGGCAAATGGATTCTGGGGAAACACACTGGACAATGACTTCTTAAGGAGAGACTTCACTAATTCAGTTTTCATCTCCTTTTCTATCAGTTCAAACATTATATTATTAGAAATAATTTTCAAAAGTTTCTAGGAATTAATAGTCTATATTTCCACATGAGATAAACAGCCTGGGAACAGCCATGGATACAGTAAGCCTTAGAAGATGCCATCACTCTTAGAAATAAGCAAATTTTACATTAAGAGGCAATTTCAAAAGGCAGGAGTTCTAGAGCTGGATTGTTTAGGACTACAGATTGGCTCTGCCACCAATGAACTCATTTTCTCTATATCTTTCTGTGCCTCAGTTTCCCAATCTATAAAATATAGATGTTAATACAGTACTTGCCCTAGGAATACTGTGAGGTTCAATGAGTTGCATACGTAGAGTACTTAAATAGTGTCTAATACAGAGCAAGAATAATGTGTTGTGACAACCATCCCTTTGGGGCCTTATGCCATGTAGGATAAATGCTAGCTATTATTAGTAGC